CCGGGGCTGGACTATGGGCAGCTGCAGCCTCGCACTCTCTGTCCCTGCCCTGGTGACCGCAACCCCTTGCTCCTCCCCCATCTCCTTATCATCCATGCCCAGCTGGCACCCCCGGCTTCCGGCAGGATGGATGCCCAGCTCCAGTCACTCCAGGGATTCCCCAGGGAACACATGGGCCTGCTCTGGGGGTGCCTGTGGGTGGGGCAGGCCTCCTGGCCATGTGGTGCCCCTCGGTGCTCCGGTTCCCAGGCAGAGGGAACTCAGGAAGTTCTATCATATTAATGAGCGATGACGCCTGGCAGCCCATCCTGCCTCAGGCATCAGGGGAGCTGTGAGCCGGAGGTGGGAGCTCTGGTTCCCGGAGCCTTCTCCCTCCCGCCGGCTTCCTGTCCCCACCAGGGTCGTTAAACATTCAAGAAGTGCCCTCTGCTCCCGTGCCAAGGGGGAGGTGGGACAAGCCCCTGCCCTCCTCCAGGCCTCAGTTTCCCCTCCTGAGTTCCTAGGGGCTGCAAGTTCTAGCAAGGCCAGCATCTGTTCTGTGCTCCTGCATCAGAGGTTGGGGTGGGGACAGAGCTGTAATTCCTTCCTAAGGAGGCACTGGGGGTCCCTGCCAGGGCTGCACATACCTACATGCTCTACATGGGACGCCCTGCCATGTGCCTGGCTGTGGCCCAGCCAGGGCTCACAGGGTTCTTCTCCTGCCCCGGAGCCACGGGTTGAGGGGTCACCCGTCAGCACTATGGGAGAAGTGGCTTCTGGGCCCAGGGGAGCCAGGCAAGGGACTGCCCCGGGAGGGTGAGTCAGCAGCCAGCCACTCTCCACCCCCTGCTAGCAACAGACGTGGCCTCCCTAAGGGACCCCAGGCAGCAGCAGGCAGAAGAGGAAGGACAAAAGAGGACAGGGCACCCAAAGGGGAGGGAGACGGGGACCCAGGAGAGGGTGGGTGCACGCAGGACCTGGACTGGGATTCTGTGTGGGATTTGAAGGGCTTACGTGACCTAGGTGAGCATTTGTGTCAGCGTGGTGATTGTGCACATGTGTGTGTGTGCATGTGTGAGACTCTGAGTCTGCAGGACTTGTGTGGCTGTATCTCCGTGACAGGGCCAGTTTCTGTGTTGTGTATGGTGCATGTGTTGTGACCACACGGGACTCTAGGTGTACCTGTGTATGAAGGTGTTCTTTGCTATGTGCATGGATGGGGCTGGGTGTGTTTGTGTGTGTGAAGATGTGTGTGTGCAAGCTCATGTATATTTTTGCAGACATGGTTGTGTCTCCATGGTGCATTGCCACAGTGTGTGCCCTTGTGGGTGAGGCCAATCTGGAAGCATGTGGTGGGTCTATTTGCACATGTGTGTGGGGGGGTGCTCACTTATATTTTGTTTTATTTTGGATACTATGGATTGAACCTGGGGGTGCTCAAACACTGAGCCACATCCCCAGCCCTTTTTATTTTTAATTTAGAGACAGGGTCTTGCTGAGTTGCTTAGGGCCTCACTCAGCTGCTGAGGCTGGCCTCCCACTTGTGATCCTCCTGCCTCAGCCTCCTGAGCCACTAGGATTACAGGCATGCACCACCACACCCTGCTCGCTCATTTCTTCATGGCTGTGTCTGTCAGGGTGTGTCTGCATGTGGCAGGGGAGACCTGGGGAGACCTGGGCTGTGGAGGGAGACCGGGTTTTGAAGTTATCTCCACTGCTCACCATCTGCCATGTGACCCTAAGAAGCCCACTTCCTCCCGGCAAAGCCTTGGTGTTCATTAATGGCTGCCCTGAGCTTATCGAGGTATTGTGTGATAAGAGACATGTCACCCCACCTGCCTCTCAGGAACCCCTTAAATCCCTGCTGGTGTTATTACTCACTCAGCAATCCTCTTAGACGTGGGCTCAGAGGCGCCATTCAGTGGGGAACAGGGAGCGCGTATCCCCAGGCACACAGAGCCTTCAGCTGAGTGCCCGACCCAGCCAGGCCTCCCATCTGGGAGGGAGCTGCCGCAGCAGGTCAGGAACGGAGCTGTGACAGCCTCAGCCAGCACCTGGCCCCCATTGGGTCTAGGTGGCTGCAGACCTGCCAGCGGGCTTCCTGGGCCCATCCTCTCCTGCCTCCCTGGTTTTGTCCCCCTGGGCCTGGTCCTGGAGGAAGTCACCCCACCTCATGCTCAACACATAAGTTCCACCAGCTGCTCATGGCGCCCAGCCACAGTGCCCTCTCTTTGCTGGGTCAGGCACATGCTGCAGGGCAGGCCGCGTGCCCACGCTCAGAGGCCATGTTCCTCTGCCCATTGCCCTCAGCCGCAAAGGGGCCCTCGCGGTCTGCCCCTGCTGCAAGGGCTCTGCCTGTCCCCTGCCTGCCCTGGGTTTGCCTGGGTAGGGCCCCCATCCTCCAGGCCCCTGGGCACCCCAACTTTCTCCAGAACAGTCCTCCACCAGATCGCCCAGCCCCACTGGCCAGGGGACCTCACCACTTGGAGCCTCGTCTCCATTCCGCAAAATGGGGCTGAACCAAGCCGCGCTGCGGGCCCTTATGAGGATTAAGTGGGGCTTAAAAGGACGTCAGTAAGAGATGGTGAGGGACGACTTCGGTCTTCTCCCCACAGGCCCCTCCCCAGGACAGGCACTGCTCTGAGCTCCTGGGCTGGGGACAGCTGCAGGGGGCACAGGGAAGACAGCCCGGGCCAGGGGAACGGGAGGGGACTGCTGCGAGCAAGTACTACTTGGGTGGCCACATCTCCCTCTTGGCCTGGCTGTGACCCCAGTCAGGGCCTGGTCCCAGAGCTTACCTCACAGCTGGGGTGACAGGAAAGAGCAGCGGCCCCCAGAGCTGGTGCTGCTTGCAGAGTTGTAAGGCTAATAAAATTAACTGGGTCTGTGCTCCTGGGCACTGGTCACCAGAGGGCCTGCCCCGTCCCTTCTAGCTTCTGGCTTCTCCTCCCTCCCAGCCTCCCTCCCTCCCGTGGACATCTGCTGGTCCCCTCTGTGCCCACCTCCTGCCCGCCTCTGTCCCCAGGCTCCAGCCAGCCCACCCCTCTTGCTTCCCTGTGATTCCCCCAGACCAGCAAGGCGGGGGAGGAAGGATGCCCACAGCTCCCAGATCCCAGGGCAGGAAGGTCTGCATCCCAGCAGTCTCGTCTCAAGGAATCCCTGCACGCCCGAGTGCCAAGACCCAGAATCCCAGCCAGACAAGGGGTGGGCAGAGCCCCAGGACCCTGGCCCCACAGCATTGGAAGAGTCTGGAATCTGGCCTTCAGAATTCATGGGCTCCTGGATCCCTCCACATTTCGGGTTCTAACTGCAAGAGTGCTGTGTCAGAGAAATTCCGCAATCCTGGCTCTGTCCCTTTCAGCATCCTTCCTCCCCCAACCCCCCACCCCCCAGCTCATCCTTGGCTCTCTCCTGGTCCCCCTTCTCCCCCGGGGCTCCCACAGACATGATGCAACCAGGCCGGAGCCAGCTGAGAGGTGGGGGGCAGGAGGGAGATGTAATTACAGCCTCTCCTGCCTCCATTCTACAGGAAGCTCAGAGTTGGGGCCCAGGGGACCCTAATCCAATGTGAATAATGGAGCATTTGCCAGAAGGTCCCCCTGGGAAGAGAGCACACTGAGCCACCAGCAGCCAGATCCAGGATCCAGCCTCCACCTGCCAGAGCTAAGGAGCACCAGACTCAGCCTGAGAGGGGCGGGGCTTGCCTACCCAAACCCTCAGGCCAATAAGGTGAATTGATTGACACACCCAGGCTCCCCCAGGGCCTTGTCCTCCAGTTTCAGTGAAAAACCAACATTCACTTTTCATCTCACTCAAAGAAGCCCAGCAGAGCCTTCATGAAGAATGTTCCTCGGCTTCCTTAGCTGGGGGACAGTGGGGCATGGTGGGGACTTTGGTGGGAAAGCCCAAACCCTTTCCATAGCCTGTGAGTCAGCAGACCTCACAATTCCATAGAAGCCGGAAATGCAGATGTTTATGAGAAATCTCTCTATTTTCCAATTTGGCAACCAAGTCAAGAATGTAATTAAACCTCACATAGGGTAAGAGGAGAGAGAGAGGAAAAGTAAACTGCAAGCTATGTATGTCCTGAGGGCCTCCAGTGTGTGTAGTGGGAACCAGGGCCACTGCCAGTCACGCCTCTCCTCAGAATTTAATCTGTTTCCCACAGTTTGGGGGACTGGGGCCAGGGCCCTGCACCTTAGGCAAGTGCTCAGCCACTCAACTCCCCCAGCTCTGAGGCAGGATTGCTGAGTGAAGAACGCACTCCTTACTTGTCCCCTCCCCTTTCCTCTAGACTCACTGCTCTCTGTGCAGGTCCCAAGTTTTATTTCCACCAAGTCCCAGGCCAAGTGTCTCCTCCTCCAGGAAGCCCTTCCTGACCTTCAAGTTCAGCGAGGTGCTACTTCTGAGTTCCTAAATCTCAGCCCCACCCAATCTGCACACCGTCTGGGGCAGGTCTGTCTCTTCCACGGGACTGAGCTACAGAAGAGCAGGACCAGGGCTGTCTCAATTACAGCCACATCTTCAATATCACCAAGCACAGACGGGGCTGGTCACAGAACAGGTAAGCAGGTGACAGGGAGCCAAATATGGGGAAAAAGGGGGGAGGTGGAGTGATTCCTGGGATGAGCCCCAGGCTCCTAGGAGCAAGGCCAATGGAGTGGCACCAGGAGCCCAGAGCCCACAGTCGTCCTGGCCCCATTATCTCCAAGCCCGGCGACTGTGAGTAAGGGACTTCCTTAGGCTCAGTTTTCTCATTTGGAAAATGGGTATTATGCAAGTAGTCAGCTGCTCTGTGGGGCTGTTAGGACAATGAAATAAGTGCACGATCGTTTGGGGGATCCGTGGAAGGAAGAGCACGAGGTGCTCCTTTTCTCCGAGGCGTGGTGGGGTTGTCCTCACTCAACATCCACTCAGCCCCCACTCTTCTCCCATTCAGAAGGAATAAGAAGGGACGCAGGTCCCCAGGGCCGCGCCAACCTCAGCGCGTGTCTCGGGTTCCTCGAAAGCACAGGCAACACCACGGTCACCAAGTTTATTGGATTCATACTTGGGCGAGGGGAGGGTAAACTCTCGGGAGAACTTAGAGCAGGACGCAAAAGAGGCGCTTGTCGCGGAAGGGATTTTCGGCGGCAGGTACAGGTGTCACCAGCGGGTCATCTTTGGCGTGCGTCTCACAGAAAGCCAGGAGCTCAGCCGCCGCCTGCGACACCTGCAGGTGCCCAGGCAGAGTTGTTGCCGCCCCGCCCTCGCGACTCCGCCCCTTGGAGCCCCACAAACCCCGCCCCTCCAACAAGGCCCCGCCCCTTGGCCAAGCCCCACCCTCTAGTCCCGCCTCTTTCCTAAGGGGATCCTCCCACTGTGCCTCTGGGCCCCGCCCCCAACATGGCCCGAGCGGACCCCAGCCCCAGAGCCCCCGCCCGACCCGGCACCTTCATGCGGTCGATGTTCACCTCCAGCTTCAGCTGTTCCACCGTCTTGCGGGCCTCAGCGATCTTGGCCATGTTGTTGGACATGGCTGCAGCAGGGAACGGGTTAAATGCCAGGGAGGAGTGGGGTGCGGCTGGGAGACCACTGGGTTCCCAGGTGAGGGGTGATGGGGGAGGGACCCAGTAACAGGGGTGTGGGTAAAAGGGCGCGCGAATAGGGTGCCAGAGCCAGGTAGAGGAAGGGATGGTGGCCTGGAGGAGAGGGACCAGAGGAGGATGGAGGGATGCACAGATAGGGGTATCTAGAGGCCGGCGGGAAGAAAGGGGGTGAAGCAAGGAAGAGGGAGAGACGCACAGATGGGAGGCTGGGAGGCAGGTGGAGGGAGGGCCAGAAGGACAGGGACACAGGTGCTGGATCAGGATCTAGGGATCCAGGTGTCCTTACCCCCCGGGGATAGAGCATGAGCCTGGGAGGGGGGGGGGGCTCCCCAGGCCAATTAGTGGTGGCTCCAGGGAGAACTGCGAATTAAGATCACGGCGGGAGGGGAGCAGAGGGGGCCTCATTAGGGCTTTGGCAGCAGCTGCCCCCTTTGCCACCCTCAGGGAGCCCCACCCCCACCCCTGGCCACCTCAAAGGCTCCTCTGCTCATTAGCAGCCAGAGGAGAGGGCTGGGGAGCCCAACCCAGCCAGACAAGAGGGAGGCAGAATGGAAGGGGATAGGGACAAATGGAGGGGCCAAGGGCAGGACAGAGGAAAGGCAGCACGGGGAAAACAAGGAGATGAGGAGAGAGAGCTGGAGAGATGGGGAGGAATGGAGAGACGAGAAGAAGGCAAACAGGGACAGGTGGAAAGAGAGAGGGGACAGAGTGACGCAAGAGAGAAAGGCACAGTGGAGACAGGGACAAAGGGCAGAGGCAGAGGGACGGAGAAGAAAAGGGACCCAGATAGAGAGAAATGAAGGGACTGGGGAGAGGTGGAGCAGGGAAAGAGTAAAGATGGGGTGGATGGAGGGACGGCAGAGAGGCGCCGTGGGGAGGCTGGGTGAGAGGTCACTCATCCATTCACTCCCAGGCAGACAGTGGCCTCGAGCCAGCTGTGGAGACCAGGACCCAGCCTCCTACCTGTTGCTGCTCAGGGCCGGGTCGGAGAGTGGAGGCAGAGGCTGAGAGGCAGGGACTGGGTCCCCGTCCCAGCCCAGTCCCGCCCCCTCCCCTGAGGCCCAGCCCCTCAGGACCCGCCCCCTCCGTATTGCCACCAACTCCACCTCCCTAGGTCTGTCTCTGAACGAGGTCTGTCCATCCCCTTCTTTGTCCCTCCTGAGCTTCAGTTGCTCCTGTTTTTGTGTGGGCCCCCTCCTCTGTCTCTCTCACAAGCACACAAAAAGACAGTCCCTCCAGGTGCCCTGTGCCCTGCTGCATTTATTCTGCTGTCACACAAGCCTCTCCTATGTGTCCCACACAACCTCTCACTGTATCACACATACTCTCAGCCTGTCACGTGGGGTCACACTCACCACCTCAGTGTCACCCGATCACAGATGACCTCCTCCATAGCTCACACACTCATGCCGTGCACCTCTCTGGGTCACACAGTAATGCCACAGCCTCAAAAACCACCTGTGCTCAACACAGCCTTACAAGGTCTCTTGGAATGTCCCCCACACTCTTGATCGCTCACAGTGTAGCACACTATCACCAAGGACCACTCCCAGGACTGCACAACCCAATACACTATCTAAGAGTGTCAAATGTACAATTTATCAGTGTCACACGTAATATCTCAAAATGCCACACACATACATGTGCAATTTAAACTTCTCCTGCTGGCTCATGACTCTCGGCTCAGCATCCTTCACAGACATGCAATGTCTCAGGTGACCTCCTCAACAAGCACTGGCACAGTGTGGCACAGTAATGTACAGGAGCACAGCCACCTGTCCAGTGACACATACATCTTGTACAATCTCCAGGGGGTACATACAATCTTACACATTCCCTTCCCATAGGTGACTCACCATCTATCCTGTCGCACACACACACCATCTTTGGATGCCATACAGGTTATGCAGGGTGGCTCAGTATAGCCCACTTCCTCACAAATCTCACAGTGTTTCACACACACTGTCGTGTGCCATTCACAATCAACGACCCCACAGTCTGCGTCACGCAGGCCATCACCGTCGCATGTCATCTTGCTTGTCCTCACATAGCACTCTTCCAGCATCACACACTTGCATACACTCTCCTATGTGCAATCACGACTCTGGACCAATCTCTCAGCATCACACACGAGCTCAACGTCATAGTCACAGTTTCCCACAGCCCCTGGCCAACAATACAGTCTTAACTCACCATCTGCCGCACCCAGACCCACTCTGTGCCTGCTCACGCCAGCACTGGGGGCGTCCCTCTCATCAGTCTGCCCTTATGACACATGGCACTCTTATCCCCTGCCTCCCTCACATACAGTGTCACACACAATATCTCACTCTCATATTGGCCTTTCAGTATCACATTCAGTCCCCAAATAGTCTCTCTCTCTCTCACTCTCTGACCAAGTTACACACGATCTCCCATTGCCACACAATTTCCCCCACAGTACCACCAATAACCTCACTGTGTCACAGGACCCCTGACCTCCTCTCATGGTATTGAACCTACTTGTCATATATGCAGTTCCACCCAATCCCTCCTTGTCACTCATAATCTCATCTGCTACACAGTCACAGTCTCCTGGCGTCACACACCATGGCTCAGGAGTACACACTCACACGTTCTTCCGGCGTCGCACAACACCTCCCGGTGACACCCGCGGACACTATAGTCTCAATGCTCTTTGCATCACACTCTTGTGGTGCTCACACTAGCTCAGCCCTGAGGGCCACACGGGGGCGCGCGAGGCCCGCGAGCCGCCCACCCACCTCGCTCCGAAGAGCCGCAGAAGGACTGAGAAACAGTTAGGGCAAGGCGTCCCCGTTTGCCCTGCGGGAAATGGAACCGGGATTAGGGGGCCTGAGAAAGACGTGGGAGGGAGATGGAGACCTAGGAAGGTGGAGGGAGCCACGGACCAGAGGGATAGGATGAAAAGTGGACAGAGAAGTTCAGAGGGAGGTGAGAGATGCAGGGAGAGACAGAGACACTTAGAGAGGAGAGACTTATGGACTAAGACCAAGGAAGGAAGACTGCAGAGAGAGACAGGGACAGGAGAGCGAGACAGGGACAGGAGAGACAGGGCATACAGAGACAGAGGACACGGGAGAGAAACACACAGACCGAAACGTAGAGGGACGTGGAGAGACAAGAGAGCGAGCGGGCATTAAGATAGAGGGACACCCAGAGGGCGCCCTACACGTGGGACGGCGGAGGCGGGACCTGTACCATGCTGGGGGCGTGGCCACGGGCGGAGTGGGGCGTGGCTGGAGTGTCGCTGGGGCGTGGTCTGGGTGGGCGTGTCGGGGCGGGGCTTGGGCTCTTTCCCAGCCCGCGGTGGAAGAGCCCTGCTAGCCTGTTGGAGGCCGGAGCCCTGGGAAGAATTGGAGGCTGGTGGAAGGGCATTTCTCTCGCAGCCAGCCCACCCAAATTCGGTTTTTACAGCCTGGACCGAGGAGGGAGACCGGCAGGGAGGACAAACAGGCCCCTAGTAGCTTTTCGATAGCGGGTTTCGAACCCTGGCCCCCTTCCTCCTCCCCTCCGGGCGTAGCAGGACGAGATTGGGGAGGGAACCCGGCCCACATCTGGAAAGCATCAGGAGCGCCGGACGTGCCAGGGCCCGGGCCCGGGCTGCGGAAGGGGGGAGGGGAGCCAAGGCGCTTCCCCCATCAGCAGAGCGGGGTCTGCCGGCGCCGAGGAGGGGCCTGGGCGTGTGCCGAGCCCGGCGCCTCCCGCAGCTGGTTTCCATCAGCAGATCTGGGCCTGAGCAGTCCCCAAGGAGGAAGCCCAGCTTAGAGCCAGGAAAAGCAGGGTGACGACCCAGTCTCTCCACGCTGCCCCACTCCTGCGACTGAGGCCAGAGGCTGGCGGGGGGAAGCGAGGTGACCTCCATTTCTGAGCACGGACTTTAGCGTCTTTTCACCCTGCGGATAGCCTTAGTTCATGCCCTGAGCGGCACAAGATTCACCAGACATCCTTATTTGTCCCCATCTTTTGGAGGAGGAAACTGAGACCCTGAATTTGACTTCACTTCTGGCTTTAATTATTGAAGAAACCATCAATGAACGGCAACACTGAATTCTAGGATGAAGTGCCCAATCACCTGTTGATTATGTCTCCACCTGGATGTCTAGTAGGTGTCTTAAGGCATCAAAAACTGAGCCCTTGGGTGTAGCTCAGTGGTGGAGCGCTTGCCTAGCACGTGTGAGGCGGCACTACATAAAAATAGATGTAATAAAGGCATTCTACTGATCTACAAATCCATAGATTTGTAGAGTCCTCCTACCAGACTCTCTGCTACCTCGGGCTTAACCATCTCGGTGGATGATAAATCTTTGGGGTCACCCTTGACTCCCTTCTCTCACATTCCACGACTGATTTTGCAGCAAATCTAGGCCATCTCAAAATATCTCCAGAATCCAGTCACTTGCCTCCTCTCGGCCCAGCCACCATACCCTTCCACTTGGACTCTTACAGTGGCCTCCTCCTTAGGTTGCTGGCTTCTATCTCTGCGGCTCTTAGTCTGTTTCCTCCAGCACAGCCAGGAGGATGCTATGGCCTTCTATAAGTGACAGCAAGTGTTAGACAGTACTTGGGGAAATCTGAACCTCACACTCTGGCAGGAAAGTAAAATGGTGCAGCCACTCTAGAAGAGCCTGGCGGTTCCTCAAAAGGTTAAACCTAGAGTTGCCAGCGACTCCACAGCTAGGTATGGATCCAAGAGAAAGGAAAATATGTCCACACAAAATACACATGCAAATGTTCATTGCAGCATTATTCATAGCCCCAAAAAACTCAAGTTGTCCATTAGCTAAAGAATGGACAAACTAACTGTGGTACGTCCACTCAATGGAAGATCATTTGGTGATTAAAAAAAAAAAAAAAGAAGTACTAATAGATACATGCTGATACCTGGCTGAAGGTTGAACCCAACGTGCAGAATGAAAGAAGCCTGTCACAAAAGGCCACATACTGTATGATTCCGGTTATGTGCATGTCCAGAATTGGCAAATGAACACAAGGCCAGCGTGGTTGGCAGAAGCTGGGGAGACTGAGGGATGACAACTGAGGGAGCAGGTTTTTCTTTTGGGGGTGGGGGATGGAAATGATCTAAAATCGATAGTGGTGATATTTGTATAAATCTGTGAATATACTATAAACCACTGAGCCGTATGATTGATATGGGTGAATTTTACGATATGTGAATTGCAGCTCAATAGAACTTCTAACACCACCATCCCCCAAAAATAAAAAATAAAATAAAAAATAAGTCTGTCTTCTCAGATTCTCCTGTGGCTTCCACCTCACTTGGAGTCCAAACCAAAACCATCTGCATGGCCCCAGGAGATCCCTACCATCTCTCTGGTCTCATCGCTTCCCTCCCACTGCTCCAGCCACACTGGCCTCTGGGCTGTTTTGTCAACATGCCGGGCACAGTTTTGTCTCAGGGCCTTTGCACTGGCTGTTCCTTCTCTCTGGAATGTTCTTTCCTAAGATATCCATAAACCTTGCTGGGGGCAGATACACATGCCTGAAATTCCAGCTACTGGGGAGGCTGAGGCAGGAGGATCTCATGTTCAAGGCCAGCCTGAGCAATTTGGGTGAGACCCTGTCTCAAAAACTAAAGAGTTGGGGGGATGTAGCTTAGTGGTAGAACACCCCTGGATTCACACCCCAGTAACACACACACACACACACACACCAAGCCTCACTCCCTACCTCCTTCAGTTCTCTGTTCAAATGTTCAATAGAGCCATTTCTGAACATTCTATGTAAATTCCCCAAATCCTACCCAGTTTCAGACCTCTGCTCAGTTCTCCCCCATTCTTCATCACCTTTAACAAATTGGAGAATTAACTTATGTCACATCCTCCCCCCCATAGTTTCCCTCCTTGTGACCAGTTCCTTGTGTATCTTTTTAGAGATGATGCATATAACAAGTTACATAGAGCAGTGGTTAAGAACATGGACTTTGGAGATTATGCCTGAATTTATTTTTTCACAACA